GGGGGGGGGGGGGGGGGCGAGCGAAGGGCGGAGAGGCAAGGACACAGGGCCAACCTTCTGATAATGCTTCATGGCGAGGAAGCCACCGGAGCCGAGGATGGCCAGGAGGACGGCAATCTGGGCGGGATTGCTTTGCACGGTTGGCGAGGAGGGCGGCGTGCCAGAGGGAACAATCGAGTGTCAGGAGACCGGGGGGCGGGGGGAGGGAAAAAGAGGGGGGGGGGGCGAGCAGCCACAACGAACATGGAGGAGGACGAAGCGCTGGACGAGCCAACCTCCGAGGGGGGGCCAGTCGGGGCACCGCCGCCGGTGGCCGAGGCCGCGCCCACCTGGGTAATCTTCTTGCCGCTGGCCGAGTCGGGCGGGCTGTAGCGCGAGGCGTATGGCGAGGCGGTTGAGGGAGCAGCCGCGGGAGCAGCCGCGGGCGGAGCCTTCGGGGGGATGGGGCTGCCGGTGGCCGCGGCGGCGGTGGTGGAGGGGGCCGCCGTGTCGGCGGGCTTTGGCGCGGGCGCGGCGGGCTTCGAGGCGTGCGACGCGGCAGCGACACCCGACTTGGGGGCCGCAGAGGCCGGCGTGCTGGCGGGCACCGAGCGGGCGAGGGTAGAAAAGGCGGTGGGGGAAGGCGCGGTGCCGGCCCCGGGGGTTGCGCCGCCGGGCGACCGGTTCAGTGTGGCCGACGTCGAGTCCGACATCGTGGAAGGCCGGCCACCGGAGGGCGAGCTGATCTTGGTGCCAAGGGTGGCGGGTGGCTTGTGGCCGCCGCTGCCGCTGCCGCCGCCGCCGCCGCCGCCGCCGGCCGCAGAAGAGAGGGCTGCCCCTGACCGGGGGGCAGCAAGCGGATGCCCAGGGGCGCCCGGGCCCCTGGCCATCAGCGCCCGTGCAGAGCAGGCCGCGCGGAGCATCTTCGCACAATCAGGCAGGCGCGCGCGCGCAGAGAAGAGCGGGGGCTAAAAACACGGGGCGCGAGGGGACAAGCAGAGGGGAACAGGGGGGGGGGGGGGGCAGGGAGTGGGGACGCCGGGGCCGAGATCGCACGGACGGGCGCCAACGCGTCGCACAAGCAGGCCCGCGGGACCGTCGCGGCAGGAACAGGCACAAGTGCTGGGGCCC